AGTTGCTATTAAGGACCTCCTCAGAAATTCCCCAGTAATATCAAAAAACTTCCATAGTCCTCTATATAAAAAACTTGAGGGGATTTTAGAATAGCAAGTTCCTCTTGATATGAGGAAGCATTATTTTTGGCTTGAAACATTCACAGAACTATTTTTACTGGGAAGATAGTTCCTTTGAGTGCAAGTTGATAGTAGTTTCCAAACAGAATTCATGCTTCATTGTACTATCAACCAAACCACTCCGACAACCATCTCTGTCGGATTCTTGACATTTGATAGTACCATAACGGCTATGCCTGTTCTAAAAAATTCTGTTGAAGGTCCTTGAGTGGTATTTCCTGTGTTCCCAAAACTGTTTACTACTTCTCCTTTTAATTTAGCCCTTATTAAATGCAGCACTTACCCTAAAACTCCAAGTATATGTGGCACGTAGACTCATCTCTGGCACTTAGAGCAAAAACTCTGGGAAAATACCGAACTAAAAGATTTTATTCTCAGGCTGTCAAAGGAACATATTCTAATCATACTAGCTGAAGAAAAATAACTAGTCTTAAAGATGACTGGTGAAGGTATTTTAATACCACTGGACATTAAAACTTCAGCTCACAAGGTCAGCTCTGACAGCTTTTGTTTAACATAAGAATCCAGTAGAATCATTTTTCTCACAATATTCTTGTAAATATCTATTGCATACACAGATCCTATACTCACTGATCACAAAAATACATTTAGAAAATTCGTCTGAACACAAAAATTTTCTTAAGTATATACATTGTCTTTGGCTTCCAATGTTTAACTGTTCAATACTATTTACACGCTTTTTATTTCTGAGTGCATCAGGGTAGTGTTTATGACTTTTTCATAGCCAAGCAGACTATGCTCTTTTTAACCATATCCTCTACTCTTTCCTTATCCCTGTATCCATCATCCCAGTGTATTCCAGATTTTTATCACTTCCCTCAGAGCTTCAGCTGGGTGTGCCTTAATTTACTTACAGCTGGAAAGGTCCTGCAGAACACACCAACCAATTTCAGCTCCTAAGTTTGCCGTTAAGCTTAGAGACATGTAGAAAGCATTGTACATGACAGGCTTATTAGCTTTGCCTCCTAGACAGGATAAGGGGTAACAAGAGAGACAAGCTGACTGTACTATGCTTGCTCTGTGGAAGGAAAAAAAAAAAAAAAAAGGAGAGGAACCTGTATGTAGCAGCAGATTCTAGTGAAAATCATCTATTCATCAATTCCAGAGAGCACTCCCTGCCCAAATGAAAAACAGACATAGTAACAAAGGAAGGTATTAATATCTTAAAAAAAAAAAGACATACTCAAACAAAATAAACTTTTATTGAATGCAGTATTAGGCATTCCATTTCATTTAAGGGAACAGCACTTTTCCCCCAAAGAGATTCCCTTTGACAACTTCTAAAAGGTATTTCAGATATAGAAATACTTCTCATGTCAAGAAACACCAAACTTTAGTTCAATTTATTCCTGAAATTATGAAGTGCAACATAAGTCCTTCCAAGAATATGACAGTTTCCAGTAGGCACTACAAGGAGAAATCCGCAACTTGTGTACAATTGCTGGGTACATTGCTTTAATTCAAATTTTATACTTACCCATCTAGAGTGTTGTTTTTAAACAACCGTATAAAAAAAGTGGTATTTAAGAATAAAGAAATGCAGCTTAAAGAGCAGCTTGTCACCATTAAAAAAAACCCTAATGGCAACCTGCGTATTTTATATCATTTCCACAGTACGTCAGCTAGCAGAGCCTTAGTCCAATAATTTAAAAGTTTACATAGGAATGTCTTTGATTCTGATTGTAGATCATAAGTCATCATGTCCACCAGGTGAAGGCTCAGTTGCTACAGTCTCTTTTTCCTCTCCTGTGGAATTAAGTATCATAATTAGAATACAAATAAGAACATGTATATTAATTACACCATATATTTTTGACTTTAGGAATTTTAAAAGCCCAAATCAGGATATTTATCAGGACCAGGCAAGCAATAAAGCCATACAGAAGAACTACTTGCAGTAGTCTTCTGGTCTAACTTATAAAATCTGTAGTGGATGCAAACAAGACATTTCAAATAAGCTGATATAATACTGGCAGTGGAAAATAAAAGCAGCATTGCTATTTCTATTCTAAGCCTTTGTTTTCACCTATTTACAATGAAGTTTCTGCTCTCCCCACTAAAAGTTTAGGAACACTATAAGTTTAGTTTTTGAACACTATAGGCAAGGTTCACTCAGAATTATCTTATCCAATGCAAACTGCTCAGTGCAGATGCAAAAAACAGCCTTTAAGCAGCAGAACAATTTCATTATGCTGGTAATAACATTAATCTAGGAAAAGAGTTAAGTCAGGTTGTAAATAGTTCATTTTTATTTTATTCTTATAAAATGGCAGGCTACATAATGGGAAAACACAAAAGCAAAACAAAACACATAACTAAACTCCTGAGTACCTGCACAGGAAAACCAATGTAACTATATTTCTAAAGGAATAAGAACAGAGAGTAAAGCTCTGAACTGAATGACCTTACAGAGCAATACTGCACAGATCATTACAACCTATTATAGCGAAATGAACAAGCAGACTAGAGTTTAAGGAAAAATAAATAAGCTAAGAACTAGGAAAAAAAAGTCATAATACTGAGTCTGCCTTGCATCTATCCTAACAGTCCTTTTTGCAAAACCAATCCTATCTTTTGCTTTGGAATTGTAAAAAGCAAAAAGAAAAAAAAAGAAAAAAGAACACACCCACACACACTAGTTAGAGTAATGAAACAATATTGAACACAATTCTGCATGTTTCATACATTGAAGAGTAGAGTTCAAATGATAAAGTTTAACATCATATTTGAATTTCTTGACTAAAGGTACAGTTCATGATGCAGTCAAAATAAACAGCTCCCTACAGCTACAAGATATATGTTATCTTGTTTCTCCTTCTTACCATCTACTTTCGCACCAACTCTGGCACTTGTGTAATCACAAGATGAATTCAGCTCACTCCTTCAGCAAAAAAACACTCTGCTTAGTTTTCTGAAATTTCAGTAACTTGAATCAGCTTGTCATGCAACCAGACAAGCCCATCAGTAATTATAATAAAGGAAAAGGCATGACAAGGAGGAAGACCTCCTTCTTATAATAGCAACAATCTGCTAGCTCACTTTATCTATTTAATGAAGCCAGACATTTAGTGACTTTCAAACGCAATCTCAAAATCAAGCAAATAAATTAACACAACAGGACAAAATGCATTGTTTGAACAAGAAAATAGGTATGCCAGATGTGGCCTCCACCACAAACCAGTTCACACTGCATCTGTAGGAAGATGATAAGTTATACATGCTGCTTGTAATATATATATTACAGATGATGACTTAAATCTTTAAAGAGAAATACGCTTCTAGGTTGTAGATATAAAAGACTTGAGAAAATCTGAAGTTACAAAAGCCACTTGCCTGTTTTTACAACTTGAACACATGTTCCATCCTTCTCTTCAAACCCTTCTGAACATACACACTTGTAACTACCTTTAGTATTAACACAGTCTTCATTCTCTTTAATGCATACCTTTTCTGGAAGGTTACATTCATCTATATCTAGAGATAGGACAGAGAAAGGAAGATTCCACTGTTATTTTGTTACTTGTGCTCAGTCATATAAACAAAGTTCTATCCAATCACACAGGCTGTCTCCAAGCATTTCCAGCACAGCAGTTAATTGCCTAATAGAAACACGGAGGAGTAGAATGATGCTGCAACAGGTTTAACTTCTGTTACAATAATATGCTATTATAATCCTGCTTCAGACTGAGTTTCAAACTTATTCAGACAGTATTGTTTTGTATTTTTTGTAGGCTCGATGTGAGAAAATGAATTAGGTGATTTCATTCCTCTCAAACTACCAAAGATTTCCCATGGTGATATTCTTTTGATGTCCTCGAGGTACAAGTAAAGGGAAAGGAACCTGTAAATATTGCACTGTCACAATCAGTTAACAGATACTTATCCTCAGTACTTTCTCTTCTCCTCCTGCAGGGAAACTCCATTTTCATTCCTTTTACTACTATTAATAGTGAATTATAACACTGAAATAAGTATCATCTGACTTTGGACATTTATGAATTAGCAGAAACACAAAAGTCTCTACTGAAACACTTTCCTCCTGTTGCAGAACTGGATACAGACTCTCACTTCTACAGAAATGAGAAATAACTGACAAGAGACCCATATATTTGTTTCCCGAATCAGCTATAAAATACTTCGCTTTTTTTGTAAGCATGTTTCACTTTTAAGCCTAGTCATGCACATCAACTTAACAACAAAGAATGCCAATAGATTTTTTTATTGCTAATAATCTTTTTTTTTTTTTTTGAAATCAGCTGTTGTGGTATTTCCATAGGCTCGAAAACTAAAGCAGAACAACATGAAAGTGCTTAACAGTTCCTCAACTTGGCTGTGTAAGTGTTAAATGGTATTCTACAATATACTGTTAAATCCACCAACCTGTACACTTTTCGTCTTGCTTTATGTATCCAGATGCACAGGTCTCACACTTGTCAGAACCTTCCCCTGTGCAACCTACACAGCTAGCATCACACGCTAAAGACAGAATAATTTAAGCAAAAAAATTTAAATAAATACGGGTTAAAAAAAGTATCATCCTTAAAGCCAGTCAGCTTACCCACAAAAGAAATAACCAGAAAACTTTTCACCTTCCTTAAGCTACTATAGGCCTAAAGCCTCACACTCCCCACACCCAATCAGGATCAGACAGCATTATACTAGTTGCCTAGTCTCAGGCGCTTCTCTAGTGTTATCTCAAGTTAAAAATTTAAAAAGCATAAGAAAAGACTAACCTTTTTCTTTCTTAATCTATTCCTTCTTTTCAAGAGGAATAAGTCTCCTTTGAAACTTACAGGCTAAGAAGTTTATCTGTTAGTGAACTAACAGATACGTTTACAGTCTTCAAAATCATGTAGCATGACAGAAAGACTAGATTATACTGAAAAGGCTCTTTCCAAGAAAGAGGAAAATTAACCAAGAACCCCCAAAACAGTGTTGTTCTGTCAAACAAAAGAGTGACGAGAAATGATTTAAGTATCACTACAACGTCTCAAACTCTGTTTCCAATTAATACTTGAGGTATTTCGTGAATACAAATATTTTTCAAAAAAATGTCTTTAGTTGAGTAAAGTGAAAGTATTGTCTATTTTATCTTTTAGAATTGTATTCTAGGAAGAGAACAAGAAGATTAGAAAAACCTTTGCATGAGAAGGATCCATCCGTATTCAAACAATACTGATCATCTTTGCAAGGAGAAGCAGCACACTCATCTATATCTGAAATAGAAGAATTGACAAGTTACCTAAAATCGTGGTCATGGCTAAGTAGCTGGATTAATCTTTCAATGCTATGCTTCAAGATCCTGTAAGAACTGTCTCACAAAAGCTGTAAACTCGCACTGCATTCAAAGTAATCATTACAATGAGTTTAGGATCAGATATGTGATATCCTGGACATAAAAGTAACTTAGTAGCTTATATACTGATTTATCCAGCTTGAACTTGCACTAACAAAACAAAATTTTGATCCCCAGAAGCTGCTTGGAGATGACAAAAACAATTTCTTGAATTTCTGGTATGTTTAAGTTAAATAAATGAAAACTTCCAGAATACCTGTCATCCTTGTCATCTTGAAGTCAGTATTTTGCATGGGTTCTTTATACTTTTTACGCAAATAGCAAAAAAAATAAGCAGGCAGGCTACTGTTTTGCAACACTTTTGCTTTTGCTACTCCTACATTACTAAGCTATGGAACTTTTAAAGTATTAAAAAAAAAAAATCCACACATGCACACGCGCGTGCACACACACGGTTTAGTTTCCTATTCAAAGGCCAAACTGGAGAAAGCAAAGTTTTGATTAGGATAAGTCAAGCTGAAAACCAGTTCTACCTAGGTAGCTAAAACATGCTAGTCTGGTGAAATCGAGGAAAGGGTACAACAGTACTCACAACTAAAAAATTCAGAGAAAGAAAGGCTATTTCAGTCATCCTTGCTGTCCATCTCATCTTGTTGCTGTTGACATCATTCCTACTAATTCTTTAATTTAACTTGTACTTGATCAGTTGCAGTGATTATTTTGAAAAACAGCTGTACAGACGACAGAATACTGGAGCATCTTAAAAACCTTAGTGTTCTACAGTTGTCTAAGCAGGTATCACAGTAGCTGTAATTCAAATCTTTTTCTCATTAGTATTTTTCAAAAGAAGTCATGTTCACACAACTTTTAGGATACTGTTTCTAGATGTTACATTAAAGTATTTCTTAGTGATTTAATTTGACCAATTTAACAGTGCTATAGAATACGTCATCTACTTGTTAAAGAGTTTATGACTGCAATGTCTTACTCTTCCCCCGTTGTGCAATCCTGCATTGGGAATATTTTTAGTATTAGGGTTTTCCCTTAAATGTTCCAAACATATCATCTCAAACTGATACAAATGCTAATCTAGAAATAGATAGCCAGATGAATTGAAGTGATGAGTTTGATCTCTCCTGGTATAATTTCTCCTCAATAATTAGAAGAGTTAGTATGGCCGGCTTTTAATGAGATGTTTGAACCCTATCAGGGCTGAACATTTATAAACATATAATAATAAAAATAATTGTGTAACTACCAAAAAATATTTAAGTTAATAGGTAAGAGTCTTCCAGTAGTTGGAAAAGCAGGAGAAAAAAAAAAAGTTGGGCACTGTTTAGCATTCAAATAAACAAACATTATCTCTTAAAAGAAGCACCTCATTTACTATTATCTGTAGTCGACTGAACTAAAAACGTAAGTGAACAGTTTGATGAAGGCAACTATAATCACCAGATGACTGGGGTGAGGACATAACGTTTGGTCCATATTTCACTGCAGTGTGAAAGTAGTGAGGAGAAGAAAAACAAACAAACAAAAATACCCCTACAAATTGCAGAAGTCTAAACTGACAGAACACTAAGTACTGTAAAACTTGATGCAATCTAATCTTATTAGCCACTGCTGTTGCAAATCCTGTTTGAAGTCTAGCAAGAATTACTCACCTACACAAGCTGCTTCTTCATTTTTGACCCAGCCTTCTTTACAGTCTTGGCAGTCCTTATTACTTGATCCGGTACAAGTTTCACAGGCAGCATGGCAGGCTGAGAAAAGAGAAGACTATGAAGGCCTACGTGGAGAGGTCCAAAACAAGTTTACATCTACAAATTCTCAAAGAATGTTATTAAGGATTCACTAGAAACTATCGCACTTTACCAGCTTGGCCCTCTCATTCACAAGATTATATCTCAACTTTATGGCAATATAATTTACAGAACTGCAGCTTCATCCTACCAAAGCCAGCCATCCAAGTCAAAAAACATACAGTAAGCTTTTTCTCAGGAAGGTGTTTGCAGCGATGAAGTCAAACCTGGCAATTACAGAGGTGTGCACCACTTACAACTGAGTGCCTTGAAATTCTACTCACTAGATGTGGCAGTTCCAGTTCTGAAATATTTGGAGAGAAGAAATCTCGAGAAAGTAAACTTCACTCCAACTGCATAGTGTTGGAACAATAGTTTATGAACACCAGACTCAGCGCTATTACCTAATGAATCATCAGATTGGTCTTATAGCTAGTTGCAAATGAAGTAATGTGTGAAGTGATACTAAAGACACACAGAAGCATACCAGAAATCCAGCTGACTGGATAAGCTTTTTGTTGTAACACAAATGCATGCATGTGTGTAGCGTGCACGCATGTGCGTGCATAAGAATTATCACGCAGTAGGATAAAAAACCCCAATGTAGATAATGTTGTATATGGTTTTAACCAATTATTATTATTCAACATGTAAAAAACACATAAAAAATAGTGTAGCTCAATCCCACTCCCGCCCCCAAAAAGGTAAAATTCATTCCTAACATCTGGTGAAACTTACATTTACTTAATGAAACTTACATGTACTTAACTGGAATCTATGTAGTTTACATTACAGATCAGCTGTTTTCATGTCCATTTATTCCAATTAAGCATATCTGAGACATGAGGAAAGAAATGGCTTTAAAAATACTCCACTAGCTCCTGATCAACTTCAGCTCAAGATTTTCCTCACAACACTTTGTCTAAAAAAAATTAGTCTTTTCTCCCCACTCCCCTCACCCTCCCATGAAATAGATGACATTCTGCTTCTTCACAAAAGTCAAGGGGAGTCTGAAAAGGTGACTTACCGAGTCTTCGGTATTCCACAACAATGACCAATTGATACGTCCTTTACGGTTAAAGCCGAGTAGTTAAAGACCATTTTCCTGTAACTATTTTTTGTCCATTTATAAGTGTTCCTATTTTTGTTTAGGAAAAAGTGAAGACTGAAGACAAAGATCTAAGCACATTACAAAGAGTTTGTTACCTGTACAAACAGAATGTGTCTCATTTTTCAAGGTACTGTAGTAACCATTAGAACAGTCCAAACAAAAATCTCCAGTATATTCCTTGTTGCAACTACATGAGCCATCACCACCTCGGGTACCATCACCATCGCAGTGGCCGTTTCCATGACAAGGTCTTTCTGATCCACCACGACAAGCTAAAAAGGATCAAAAATATTTTAAGATCAGATGTTAAAGGAAGTAGCTTCCTATTCTCAGCCACAATCACCTGAAGTCCCTTACTTCACAGAAATAGTAAAATGTAAAAAAAAGTCACACTAAAACAGGATAGATTTTCCAGAATCTTTTCCCCTTGACAGCAAGCAAAACACATGGAACAAGGAATTCTCACTAACATAAGAACAACTCAAAACAATCTTCAGCAAAGTCAAGTTATAAACTTCATCTTGGGTAAAGATCTCCGCTTAGGATTTTATCTATTTTCCTAGCTTTCCGACTAAAGCTGGTATCTTTATTTATTCTGGATTTCTGAGAACGCTCATACAGCAGTTGCAAAAGCTACTAGTGATTGTTTAGATCAGTGTCAGGAATTAGCACTTCACTTTTGACAACTGCAAATATAAGAGGCCAAAGCTGCTCTCTAACAGGTTGCAAAGCTTTACGAATGTGTAAGTTATACAAGCTTCTGTGACTGAAATGCCTCCTTTATCACTTTCTATTCATAGGTGGGAGGCAGTTGGAGAAAAGTAAGATCTATTTCTCCCATTCCTTGTTTACCTACTCATCAGCTGTGAATTTGTTCATTTAACCCCAATAGTGTTTTTGCCACTTCATTCTTGAAACCAGTAGCTTCAGAAAGGCCACCTAATCGCCAGATGTCTGAGACCCTTTAAGCGTGGTTCAGGTAGGGATGTGAACACCACCAGATCACACAGACCCTGCACATACAAGTACACTTACTAGCTTTGTGCATTACTTCATTCCTGGAAGACTTTTTTCAGGCAGGATGCTCACAAGGCAGCAGGCAAGTGATTACCACACAGCAGTTGCTGTCTCAAGCAAAGTGTTGTACCAGTTCATTTGAGGACAGGTAAAAAAGGATAGGTAAAAAAGCACACTTTTTTCATTAAAAAAAATTACCAAGGCAATCTGGTCCATATGTTCCAGCAGGGCAACAAACTTCTATTGTTTCTATGCAAAACCACTTAAACAAATCAGGATACTTCTTCTTTCTGTATACAGAAGACATTCATTTATCAATAAAAAGAACGAATATTCTTTGACAGCCTCCTCACACAACTGAACTTGCACAATGCAAACCAAAACAGTCTTCAGAAGAGTAAGAGTCATTTAAGAATCATGCAAGATATTTATTGCACGTGACAGAAGACTAGACACCTCTGCAATATTTTCTTTTCTGAAAGCAAGAAAAAAATGTTATTTCAGGAAGCAGTTTATCAAAGTCCTCCAACTCAAGTTGTTTTTTAAAATGTACCTTTTAAATCATAACGCTATTATCAGACTCTACTCATATTTTATAGCTTGTATTTAAACAGAAGATGTGATATAAGTTACCAGTAAAACCTCTTCAGTTTAAATGGTCTTATTCATGTCCTGCTCTTTAAAAAGAGGACTGTATCTCTTTATCTTTAAAGATTACTTCCTTCTCAAGAATGTAGAACCCAGGACAGGTATTAACGCTTGTTCAAGTTACTGTAGATCTCACTTCTTAACAGGACGTACGTTAAAATTCCTCCTCTTTTTAAAATATGAGTCAAGTAATATTTCAGAAGGATTTATTAATACTAAGAAATTAAAAGTTACGTGCTACTCTGTACAACAAGAGCACGCCCCAAATTAACAGTAACATCAGTAAGTATTATTTTGTAAGCAAGCAGGAAGACTACAGTTCTGAATGATAATTCCGAGGGCTAAAGTCTCATGGTGTAAATATAGAGCGAAATCCCAGTAACTTTTAATAAAAGGAAAGCTCTACTGAAGGTTTAGAACATTGGTAGCGTCTGACAGTAGTTAAGTCCTCAGCATCTCCCATGATAGGTACTTTCTTTTCAAGCTTCTCTTTTTAGACAATTACATCTGACTGTACTGAACTCCAAGGTTCAGGTCCTGAAAATTGAATTCAAGTAGACTATCACTCAGAACATAAAAACTTGGCCAGGGGGAGAGGGATATCTAAGGTACCTACGGTAAACTGTCTTTGGAAATTACTAAAAAAAAAAAAAAAAACCACACACACATTTTTAGTAGTAACATTGCCCTCTCTCCTTGCACTCAATCAATCGTCTCACTCAAAGGTCTATCAAATAGGCAAATTTTCCAAAAATACACTATTGATAAACACATTTTATGAATGGTTTTGCTGACATTTTAGATCTATTTGGTCAAATTCTCTAGTTCAAGGCCAATTTCTTTCAGTTCTACAAAGTTAAGAAAGCTTCAGGAAAGCGAGTTAGATTTTACTCTAGATTGTGTATCTCATCTTTGCGCAATTTGCATGTTAACATGCCCTCATTTCCTGTACAGTCAGGTAACAAAATAAGCTATGAGGCAGTCATTAAGGACCAAATGGATTAGCAAAAATCCTTATCCAGGGATGAATTGGTATAATGGCAGTTTATCCTACTGAATTCTGGCTGACTGGCAGCGCTGGCAATCTAAGGAAGTAAGGAACACTCAGAATAAACACGATCTGGAGTCAAGAAAAGAAATTTACATGCTACAACGCCATGCTCACACTAATTATATTTTATAGTGGTACATAAAAAGCTCATTTATAGTGGAAATCATGGGACAGACGGGAAGGCAGACAGGGGCAACTGCTACCATCCTCAAGAGATCTAACTCCAAGACTTTTATAAGTGTATCTAGGTTTTTTTTTTTTTTTTTTAAATTATCAGGACAACACAATGTTTCAGGGTGGAAAAAAAGATACAAGAAACAAAGTCCCCCTACAGTTTAAAGGCAAAGGAAAAGAGAAAAATAGGATCAAAGTAATGAAATCTAAAGTTTTCCACTGTTAGTTTGTTTCAATAACCCACTGGTAACTGTAGAGGCAGTAGGAGACAGCGTATGAGAGGTAAGATTGGATGCTTTGGTGCAACACTTCAGGAAATGAAAATAAGGGAATTTTAATTGCAACTTTAAGTGCAAGAGTTGCCATTGGGTACTACTGCTGGATTCAGGCTAACTTCTAGTCTTAAGTGTCCAATGGCAACTCTTGAAGCATAACAAAGAATTAGCCAATCCAGCTCTATATGGGACAGAGAAGGAAAAAGGCAGTAGATGAGCCCCTCTCCAATGCAAATTTTCAGATCCCCAAACTGCATTGTGGGATCCCCAATATAAGCCATTCCATATCATTGCCTGGCTGACAGAATCAAACATTCCTATTGTATATAGGGAAAAAAACAGCCTGGGGACTGTAAAAATCTTGGTCTAGCATATTATCCACTCAAGGTAAAAAAAAAAAAAAAAGCCCTCATTCATTGATTACATAATCTTTGAAAAGAAGAACAAGTATTCATCATTTCTAGTAAACAGAATACTCCAGTAAGCTTTCTTTTTCATCTAAAATATATTGAGCTGCTCTTCCCACTTCCTCCTGTTGTATAGCTGGACACTACTTTCATTCATGGAAATTTAATTTGGAGAGTGCAGTACAAATAAGCTCATAATTCTTCAAATTTGCACACCCATCTGTACTCCACAACTGTAAAGGGAACAAAGTGAACTTCTAATTATATACTTTCTAGCCTTATGCTACAACTAGTATGTGGTGCATTCTCTTAGATATTTGTCCACACACAGGTCTCCACAAGAAAACTGTTACTTACAGTTTGAACCACCATCTCTCTATATGTTCTTCATGCTCTTCTACCATGTTGTTACATTCAAAGTTGCTGCTGTCACACAGATTCTCTATGATCTCTACTAGACGGATTTCACTAAGAGTGGGGGAGGGGAAGTCATAAGTTTAATTTTAAAATAGTCTATGACATTCTAGATATATTATAAGAGAAGCTAACTTCACGCCTAGACTACTTTATCAGTTTATGGTGTTTTCTGAACCAGTAGCTTATCTGCAAACATAATAAGAAACAGATTATACGTTATTAGATTTTTAATCAGTCCAGCAAATTTCAAGTGCAGTATTTTACCAGGTTCAACAGTAAATTTCAGGTATTAGCAATATAGGCCCATGAAGCTTCAGCAACTGAGGTCTGAAAATCCCATACTTGCATCTCAGTGATCACACTAAGACTAAAAACTGAATTTGAAACTCGTAAGAGAGTATCAGATCACTTTGCTTACTAATTAAACATATATGCCAAAGACTACAGCAGTCTGCGCTTCTTCTAGTTACCTGTTCGACACTGAAGGAGTGCAGATTATAGGGAGCAGTTGCTAACTCTAAAACAACAAGTATGGCAGTACTCCAAGACTAAATCCAAAGCTTCCACGACAATTACTTAGTTATACTCTAAATATCATTATTTTGAGACTTAAATGGCCTTAAATAGAAAAAAAATCTCTATTATGACCAATGATAACATTAACTTTTATTGCTATCAGAAATGAATGAGATCGTTAACAAGTAACTTCAGTCTTCACTCTAAATTGCAAATACAGTGTAACCTGCTATATTTTAGTAGGAATTTAGGATTCCGATACATGAACCCTTAACTGGCATGCTGAATTTTTAAGTTTCAGATGGACTGTGCTGTAAAATTACACATAGCGAACAATAAGCGTAGCTGAACCAAAAGCACTGAGGCAGCTTACCTCGATTCATACTTTGATAGGGTCTTCTCTTCCCAAGCAGTGTTTCCACCACCAAAATTCTTCTTTGCTGTATCTGCTAATCCCTGACAAATGAAAGTACCAAAAGAATCCAAGCAGAACACAGTGTTATTTCTAACCAAAACTAAGTGCAGTAGTAAGTAGTTGAACAAAAATTGTGAAGGGTGCCTTACAGAAACTTCAGTAAGTCTGTGATGGTAATCAAAGTGTTATGTTAAGAAAAAAAAAAAAAAAAAGGCAACTGATAACATGAGAAGTGAGAAAAGATCAGTTATAGCATTACACCATGCCTCATTTTTCATAATAATGAAAAAAGACTTCATGAGAGTTTACATAAAAAAAACATACAGGTGTCAAAGTTTATATCTTTTTCTCAAAAAATTTACAATTGAGTTGAACTGCACTTCTACATCATTCTTATTTGGTACTACTTCGGCCAATCTTCACTGTTAACCATGTAACGGGTCAACTTAACTAAATCACAACAGGACAACTCGGCTAAACTTCCCCGAGTTACAGTCAAATCATACTTTGTGAAAATCTCAAAAACTAAATTGACAACACTGAAGATAAATACAAAGACTATTAAGTATGTGTGACCTCTGTGGCTGCAGAGGCGCCCTTGTTGCATATGTTGCATTTACTCTGCCTCACTGTTACAAGTAACACTACACACACTTTCTAGGGGATGATGCTTTACCATTAACAAGTCACACAAAATGTACAGGCTAGAACAAAGATAGCAAGTTCTTTCTGCATTAAATTGACAGCACAGACTTTGTTGGCAGAGTGTAAGGAGTTCACTAGGCTATCGACTACTTCAAGGACTAAAATTGTTACTTAAGGTGAAAGAAAAAGGCTACCACATACTGAACTGACTTCAGGTGAATGACCTGCCACGTAAAGGGCTATGCAACCAGAGGGATCCAGAGCGTGACCGAGGACCTTTACCGGCTACGTCACGCGAGCTGCGCGGCCGTATGAGGGGGCACGACGGCAACAAATCCCTCGGTTCTTGGCAGACCCAGACCCAGGCCCCGT